AACATAAATTAGTGGGGAAATTATGGTCCCTGCTCAGGAGGGAATGTCTACGTGCCAAGACACAGCAGGACCTGGCTAGTCCTCTGGTGAAAACAATAGGCACATTAGTGAAAGTGAACTGTGAGAGACTGGACCAAGGCAGACTGCCCAAGGCTGGTTACAGAAGACCTCGATTCCCTCACTTGTGCCACAGGATTCAATGTTCTAGCAAGAACGTTGATCTTAACAGTTTGCTTAAAGTAAGGCACAATGATAATTTACTGTAAAATATGACAAGTCTGCAGTGTGCTACTGCATGCGGTGTGTACAGGTACGTCAACCTGCCGACACTGTGTTTCACTTAATGGCTTTTTTCAGCTGGGCCAGGTGGCTGAAATCAAATATTTATTTATTTATTTATTTATTTATTTATTTTTGGAGAAGTTTTTGCTATAGGGCACGTGCGCTCTCCAGAAAGAGAGAGACAGAGAGACAGAAAGCGAGAAATCACCCCCCAGGGGGGATGGCCACACTGCAATCCCTTCTCCTCCATTCTCCTCTTGGGATCTTGGGCATGCACGCACAGGTGCCCGGCGTGAGTTTAAGCCTCCGGGTCCAGGACTCGAACTGTGGTCAACTACAAGGGAGTCCAGCAACATAGCCATTATGCTAACTACTGGTCCCTCAAATCTTTATTTTCATGCCTGATTTCTCAGTAGTTTTTTGGGGACTTTTATCCTGAGACCCTGGAAGAACTAAAGGGGATTTACCTAAATTGAGGGATGGTGAGAGCCAGTTCTTGCTTAGAAAAGAGGCTTCATCACATCGTCAGATTCTGGGTGGGGTTTTCTGTAAATGCACAAATAGGCTGGAGGGCTTTTGGAAACCCAGTGTGGCATCGTATCAGAGAAAGAATGCCGGAGGAACGTCTAGCCACCTGACTGTCATCAGTCCATGGCACTTTCCTACCCTCACTCCCCAGTCATGATCACCGTGCAGATCTGACCATCACACAGGTCCTCGGTGAGGTCAATGGTCACTGCTTCTGGAGGCGATTGTCTTCTCTGGTCATCTATCTGCCAGGTTTCTCCTTTGCCTCCTGCCATGTGCCTTTTAGGTGGCTCGATGACCAGGAATG